GATTTGCTATTGCTAACTGGCATTATTCTAGAAAAACCCTTATAAATTTTTTATTTTGTATAGGTTTTTGGTATTAGTCCCTTAAATCTTTAATATATTGAATCTAGACTCTCAAATTATTAAAATTGTTATGTGGCCCCCTAATTTCTTCATCTTGTACTGTTACTCTTGATTAAAGTGCTACTCTTGATTAGAAGGATTAAATTGAAACAATTAATAAGAATTGGTGGATCTAACAATAATATTAATGATTTAATGCACTACTTTTGAAACAACTTACTATAATTGGGGAATTATTAGCAATTTCAATGATTTGAGGGACTAACTTCAAAATATGAAATATTTAAGAGAATAATACTGGAAAAACACTATTTTGTAATAATTTAAAATTCATAAAGAAAGCAAAAATATTACATTTAAGATTATAGAGAATACACATTTACATTGTTGTTCTATGGAAAGATAAGGATTAAGAAGTATTTGAATGAGCATTTAAATTGAGTTCTCATTGCTTGTTAGAATAGTTGAATTGAGATATAATAGTCTCTGTGTTATTTGTATTGTCAAATTTATGGAGGACGATCATTTTTTCAATTAACAAAATGAAAGATGATTTAATTGATAACATGCTTGACTTTATTTACTCATCCATGAAAATGAGCCCCCAAGCCAAACAATTTTGGACTCATCCCTAGGTGTGTGTCAAGGGTAATAATTTTATACTCTAACATGTCCCTGCAGGTTAAGAGGTTTGGCACGGGCCATAACCAGGAATCACGGAGCAATACATTCTTTTTTAAATATCTGCTTCAGAAATTCATGTCCAATAAGATTTGAACTCGAACTGCTTTTATACCATGTCAAAGGACAATATCACTGCACCAAAGCTCCAAAGTTTTGCTGAGGATTGAGGGTTATAATTTTATATTCCAATATTATCATTGATAAGCAGTTAGATTTTCCTCTATGTTCCTCACATTATGTGGTTCCTCTGATTTATAAAGTTTAAAGGGTGTTGAACAAACACCTCAAAGTTAAGCAGGTTTTGTAAAATTTACCCTGATTAATATTTATGTAAATCTTTCTTAGTTAAAAGATATAATACTTGGTTGGAAGGAATTGCGAAGGATATGATAATGTTAAATTAACAAAGATGTCACGAAACAGAATGGAATGGAAGAATAGGATTCATGTTGCCTACCCTAAACATTTTGGATAATGGCTTTGTTGTTATTGTCGCTGCTGTTTCTCAGGGATTAAAGATAAGTATAAAATACTAACCTGAGATTCTTCAACACCAGCTTCAGGAGATGGACGAATCACTGACTCTTCTTTTACTGGTCCATTGATCATATCATTTCCTTCAGACTGAATGCTTCTATCCACATTAACCAAATGATCTTTACTTGACTCAGTATCCACAGAGGATGAGCTAGAGGACTGCATAATTTTCCCAGCTTCTTCATTTCCACTAATTTCTGATATTCCAACCTGCATAGCATCATGTTCCTTGATTCCAGGGATCTCTCTTAGTTTTGATTCATCTTCTTTCACCATTGACAGACCTGAAGATTCTACTGAATCTTCTTCTCTGGTTTTAACTACTGAAAGATCTCGGTCTTCTAGTAAATCGTTTGCCTGTAATGACCTTGGAGGTGAAGCCACTTCTAACAGATCTTCTTGCTCATCGGATGGCAGAGGATTGAAGATGGTATTTTCTCCACCTGCAAAAACGATATGTCACCAAGTATTATGATCATGAGGATTAGTCTAATATGTATGGCAAAGAATTATATGAACTTTTTTGATCAGTTACATTTAGGTAGCCAATGCATGAGTGACCTTGAGGCCTGTGTATCTACATGGGTAACCATGAGATTACCGGTTGTATTTACACAGGCAACACTGAGAAGGACAAAATAAACAAACTCTAGGGCCACCTGTGTAATTACAATTATAATCTCAAACTTGCCCATGGGTAACCATGAGATTACCGGTTGTATCTACACAGGCAACACTGAGAATGACAAAATAAACAAACTCTAGGGCCACCTGTGTAATTACAATTATAATCTCAAACTTGCCCATGCTGATACACACACTGTTCGTCACCCGTGTAATTAAACAATACCTCAGTGTACCTAAATGTAATTAATCCCTTTTTTTACCTTCATGGAGCAGTGCTTCATCAAGGGTCAAAATGTCAGTTTGGCGTTGTCCGATTTTGGATTGGTCAGAATCATAAACAGGGTTTTCCTTCTCCAGATCAGCTGATGTTTCATGAATATGGGCCTCAGAGATCTTTTCCTTTTCTTCTGACAAAGAAGAATCAGAATCGTCATACTTTTCTTCAATCATTTCAAGCTTTCCAGTTTCACAAGCAGGCAAATTATCTTCTCCTTTTCCAATTTCCTCCGTCAAGTTGCTAGCATCCTGATGAGTCTCTTCCATGTCTGTTGTCTTGAAATCAATGCTGATAGGAGACATTGTTGGACTCTCCTGCTGTATTTCTGGATGAATTAGTTCACTTCTCTCTGCAACAAAAAATGGATTCAACTTTGATCCATTGTTTTCTCCGCTAGAATCGCCTAAAAATGATGGCCCACCTATTGAGCGCTCATGAAATCTGGATAGCCTTTCTCTTTGTGCAGCAGAGAGAAAATCATTATGATTCAAAAAATCCTTTGATAGAGTGGTGATTTCGTCCACTTGATCATGAGGGAGGTCAAAAGGATTTTGTCTCGGTTGCAAGATTGAAGGTGCGGAACCGGGAAGATTTGAATCGGACGTATAAAGAATATCAAAAGGATTTCTCCTTGGAGCTGAAATAGGCGGAATTGGTGAAGGATAGAAGCTATCAAAATCTATTAGATTTCTCTCAATTTCATACCTCTGACTCTGAAGTTTTCTTAGCCTTCGTTTTGCAATTAAATTCTCTAATCTCCGATTTCTTTCCTCTTCGGAGTAGCCAAGGTCCATGACATTCTTTTGATCATCTTCAGTCCATGGAACTTCCTCATTTTTTTCATCTTTCTCCTTTGCCTCTTCATTTTTAACCTCATCATCTGATTCATGGTCTTGAAATGAAGCAGAAGAAGAAGAAGAAGAATCTGAGTCATCATGGGCTCTAATTGTGGGCTGTGGTAGTTCAGAGTCCAATAATGGATGAAGCTCATCGAGCATTGGTATGATATCGGCCAAAGAAGCATCAGGAGATGAACTTTCATCACCATCAGAATCAGAATTAGAAGATGCATCATTTTTTTCCACTGTCTGCCAAGGTGAACCTAAAGCTGAATCGAAAAGGCTATCGGATAAAGGCTTGGCAATTTGTACTCTGAGGCCATCAAGTTCTTTTTGATCATTTATAGGAACATTATGGATATTTGAATCCAATTCCACTGCAAGCTCAGCCTTGTTGTCTATAGATTCACTATTTTCTTCCTTTTCTATCTCATTATTAGAACTATAGCTTGCCTCACCGACAGCCTTTTCTGTTGCTCTCTCACTAACCACCAAATCATTTTCTAAATGAGTTTCTACTGTAAACTTCTCATCTTTTTTCAGAATAACATCATCTACAGGACTCCCCATTTGCAGCGAGGATATTTCTTGAGCTTTTTTAATTTCTTCTTCAATTTCAGGGATATTTGGTGTGCCATAACTTAGAAGAGTTCCAAGAAGTATAGCAGTTGAAATAATCACGGGTGAGTAAGAAATAAGGAAAGCAAATACCACAGGAAAAGCTCTATACAGTAGGAGCAAGAGAAACAGCAAGCCTGATATATAAGGATGAGCACGAACAGATCTATAGCTAATTCTAATGGAAGATGTTACACCCTTCCTGATATGCATTATAATTTCCTTGAATTCAATAGCCATATTTTCTTCTTTTTTCCTTCTCTCTTTGTCAATCTGCAAGGGGGGAGAAAGAGAGTAAGCCCTATGCAAGAAACTCATGGGGTCTTTATAAGAAAATTTAAGAATATATAACACCCAATAAAATTCGCCATTCAAAAATGATAAGTAGTTATTTTATGAAGAGATAATTTTCTTATCTTGATTGTTTACATATCCAAACACTTGACACATGAAAGCTGAAGTAATATGTGAAAAATTAATATAATGCTAGAACTGGTAAAAACCTGGTTGCAATAGTAAGCCAAATTCTACCGGGGGATATAAATTGTACAAATAGATTTATTGAACTCATACTTATAGTTTAAGCCTTTCTATTCATTCATACTGAACAACATAGTTTAAACCTTTCCAGTCATTCATACTGAACAATATTTAATAATAATATTTTTGAGCATGTTAGTAATACTAGAAACTTTCTGAACTCAATCAGATAGGGTTGCCTCTCAATGAAGCAAAATCATATTCTCATTCTCTAGAAATTTTTTTCATCTATTCTCTCATCAACAAGCTACAAGAAGTTCACCAAGGCTCTCTCACCATCAAAGAAAATTCAGCAAGCATACTAATGGTTATCATTTCCATACTAATTGCCTGTTCTACTCTCTAACTTTTTTTTACTATGTCTATTTTTGTCACTCACTGATCTTGTGAGAATTCACTTGTGTATCGAGATAAATATGACAATGTTTTCTTGACTACTCAATAAAAATCTTATTAAAAGGACAAAGGCAGATTGAGATATTCAGGTCTCAGGATGGCTAAACCTGCCTCATGATTGAGCAATAATTATTTATGTCCGTTTGGCCCTGAAAGGTCGTCTGAAGCTGATAGATCATAGATTCTGTACCAATAGTTCGAAATGATTTAGGAAAAGGATAAGTCCTTTTCAGATAGTTAGACATAACATAATATGTTCGTCGAGATTACATAAAGAATCTTAGGATCACATATATCATCTTATTCATGTACAAACAATTATATATCTGGGTAATTTCATGTTTCAAATAATATTACAAGTTAATAACATCACACATCCATACCAAAATTTTAACCTATCATTCTATCATATATTATTACAGTTAGCAAAAAGGAGAAGATATTGGCTGTTTTTATATGGTGTAGCTCAATATATCTCACATTTGTATTGAATAATATTAATTTATCATAGTTTTATTTAAGTAAACAACCATTGAGCAACTAATCTGAAATGCCACCACAAATATTATCTGTCGTAGAAATTTCAATCTCATGAAGTTCACATGTAAGTCATCTAGTCTAAGTTGTATTTTGGAAATTTTGGCTTCAGCCATTACATGGAAGATCATTTCTCATACCGCAGTGTTATTGAGGCGCGCGCCTCGGGCGCGCCCCGGGCGCGGGGCGCTTCGGCCTGGGCGAAATGCGCCCCGCACGCGAGGCCGGGCGCTGCACGCAGCGAGGCGCGCGCCTCGCGTGCGCCTCGCATGCGCCTCTCTCGCGCCTCGCGTGCGCCTCGCGCGCGCCTCGCATGCGCCTCGCATCTGTGTTGTGTAACATACTCTTTCTTCTATTTTTTTTAAAATAATTTACATAATTACATATTTATATCATGTAATATACTCTTTCTTACTAGTTGCTAATCTATTTTTATCTTTTCATGTTTAACCTATTAAAAGGAAACAATAATTAGTAATTTAGTATACTTGTTTGTTAATTGTAACTTTCTTCTCTAATTAGCATGCTAACTAGCAAATTATGAACATATAAATATGTAATTGTTACATTTATTCATCATCTTTTCAAGCTAAGTAGCAAATATCAATTAAGAATGCTAACTAGAAAATTATGAACAGTCATGTTTGTTAATTATACTTCTTAGTCTTTTTATGTGGTAATTTATAAACATATGCTCATAATTGTTAATCACTTAATTTGATGATTTAAATACATGTTTCTTGTATTTTTTTGTTACTTTAAAAATTCAGTTAGCATAATTTGATGATTTAAGTTGATATTCTCATAATTTTGGATGTAGGTAACTAATATGTTGCTTATATGTTTCTATCTTATGATGTTGGCAAATATTAGTTTGAGTTATGCGCCTCAATTAGTGAGGCGCGCGCCTCGTTGTGCGCCTTGCGCATGGTGCGCGTAAGGGACCTTTGCGCCCCGCATTGCGCATTGCGCCTCGATAACACTGCTCATACCTAATAGTTTAGTTACATCATTGCAATGGCATGGTTGAGTTATGCTCAATAATATGGTCCCCGCATTCATGTACACATTCCTCCATGGTCCACATATCTAAATATCTCCAGTGCGGCCCAATTTTAATTAAAGGCCTACATTCCATTTTTGTCTCTCTCTTGGGCCCTGAAGTAGCCTTATCTTACTGATATCTATAGGATCATGGGATTACCCTTTCGAACTTCAACATAAAATTTTTTCTAGTGGATTTACAAATCTCAAATTGTAATTGGTAATAAGTGATTATGAGGAATTATTGGAGCAAATAAACGCATGAACTTTTATTTGTAGACCAATTAGTTTCAAATATTCTGTTCAAGGCATGAAAAAAAAAGTTTTAAAGCAACCAAAAGTTCCACTTTATCTAAAAGTAGAGGGAGAATAAAAAATGAAATTGTTCATGCCAAACTTAAATGCAGTTGATGGTCTTAATGCATTACCAAAAAAGGGGAAAAACAACACATAATGAGTACTGAAAAGTATATAGAGAACAGAACTACACAGGTGTTTTACACATGCCCCACAATTTTGCGGCATGACACAGCTTCATGTTGAAGTGTCCATGGCGCCTAGTTTACTCTTATCTAAGAATCTTGCATCATAATCTGTATATGCCAAGGAACTAACTTTAATGAAGGCTGAATTCGGATGCAATGTAAAAATTTCAAGACCAACCATCTTTTAATGTAACTGTGTAATCCAATCTTATTATCCTCAACAATGGTGTTACCGGCACATTTTATTTTTGCAAAAAGTTGGCATGGCCTAACACTAGGTCACCTCACCTGTGTCCCATGACATGGAAATGAATCTTGTGAACTAAAGAAAATATGGCATCTTCCTAGATAAAAAAAATTAAAAAAGGCATCATTGCATGGCAATGACCAATAAGGCAAGAACAAAAAGTACCATTAAGGGTTACGTTCATGTACTACTCATGTCATTGATATTCTGCAATGTTTTTCTTGATTATGATATATAAAAAGAGAACTCAAAGTCAGATAAGCCTCGAAAGTTTACCATACATTTCTAACAAGCCCCTAAACTATTATTTTAACCCATTAACCCTATAGTTATTATTTTCGTTCTTTTTAGCCCCCATGGTGGTTCTCCACCCTAAACACAACCAAAAATACTATTTCAGCAAGGGCACAATGGCAATGTTGTAAAAAGAGTCACATGCTAGGCACATGGGATGATTACAATCCCTTTGACCAGACCAGGGGGAGATCATTTAGAGCAAAATTGATCTTGGAGGTCATTTCCTCTCAAATTTGGGAAAGACCATTTAGCGTCTATGCTGTCTAATGTTGAGAATTAATTAAGAAGCTACAATATTCCAAGTTTATCTTCACTAAAATGGTGTTTTTTGGCTTGTTCAGACTTCAGAGTGGAGAACCACCATGGGGGCTATAACTAGAATGCAAATAAAAACTACAGGAGCTTAATGGGTCAAAATATAGGTTTAGAGGCTTCTTAGAAATGTAAGGTAAAGTTTAACAGCTTATCTGACTTTGAGTTCCTGAAAAGAGTTTAGAGGCTTCTTAGAAATGTAAGGTAAAGTTTAGCAGCTTGTCTGACTTTGAGTTCCTGAAAAGATTTGTAAAAGAGTCTATCGCTCCACAAATATGAGATTAATAGCGTAAATACATATGTAGACATAAACACAGTCATATGTTGTCCTACAGTTTGAAATTCTAATGACGTATAACTTTTTATACAAATCTACTACCCAACTAAATACCTAGATTTTAAATAACTTTGCAACAATGTCTTTATTTTCTTAGAAGATTATGATTGATGATTGCATTTCTTGGTCAGTATCTCGTCATAAAATGTTTTTTTCCTCACAGTAAGGAGGCAGCAAGGTGAGTTTTTGTTGTTCATGTGAAAATCATGACAACCCATTAAGACAATTCATAGTGTATATAAACATTATGATGCAAAGTAAAAATGATGATGTCTACAAATATGTTGCTCAAGAACATGAAATCAACTTTAACATGTGTAGAAGATTTAAAAAGAAAAGATTGTATAAGAAATCAAACTTTTGTATGGAGTTCAAAAAATCCATTCACTCATAGCTATAACAGCCTATTTTCTAAAACTTTACTTATTTCATCCACCAATAATCTCTCCCTTATGTCAACCCATCTAATAAGTTTATAGCTACATGCATGATGTAAATCATCAGACAAGTCCACATCGTCCAACCTCCCAGTATAATCAATGTGCTTCCAAATGTCATCATCAATGACACAATCTAATAAGTTTTAACATCTCCTGTTTGGTGGTGGAGTAATGCTAGAATGACGATTATCTCACCTATCAATTATGACAATAGAGAAGTGTTAAGTGAAGTACGTCCACAATCTTCACCATTGATCCGGAGTTTCAAGTTCAAGGATTGCTCCTGCTTTTGGGAATTCGTCACGTTTCATACTCAGAGTCATGTTCGAATATTTTGATTGAACAATTCTCAATAACAACCCATAGTTTTCATACCTGAACATTTCTGTTTTATTTGAATAGCTTGCTAAGATGAAAAAGATAAGGATCAACTGCTGACATGCTCAAACCAAATACTCCAATTTTCTCCTTTTACATAACAAGCTCACCATGTTTTCCCACCCATATCACTTTAGGGAGGTGTCATAATAAGTAAACCATGGATTCAATAGAGAAATAGAAGCAACAATAAATTAATATTTTGGTAACTAAATCTTGTGCCTATACTTCTACTCTATAAATCGAGTAATCGGTATTTACATATAAGATAACAACATAAGACCTTAATTTGCATGGATCAAGCATTATATCAATGAAAAACTTACTACAAGTCCAATTTTGCGCAACATTTCCAAATGGCTTTAAGAAATGACACAAAAGTATAAGTACCCACATCCTCAAACTTCACCAAGTTAAATGAAAACCCCTTTATAACACAGTTTCATCCCCTTAAACTAAATTCACTCGCGCAATTATTTCTATTATTTTTCAGGCTTACCAATCACACCCCAATACTGGAAATTACTTGGTCTGCCACCTTTTCAGCTGATATGCACAAATTCATAGATTGCATATTATCCTTACAACTTATACTTCCTTTCATAAGAAATTCACGAAACTCAGCAAGGAAAACAACAAAGAGGAAAAACCCATCAAGAGATCTCACCAATAAACAAAATTTTCAAAGAAAATACGAGGAACCCAGCTCACCCTTTGATCCGCCGATCTGAAAACAAACGTTCAAGGCTTTAGAATTGGAGTCTTGAAAAATGGGAAAGTGAATGGGAGAAGAAATCTCAATCTGAGACTTTTTATGGGTTATAAAGAGGAGAAAGAAGAGAGATTGGAATTTTTTTAGATCATTTGTGGGACTAATTAGTTTGTGGGACCCACGATGGTCCCAATGCTTGGGGAAACATTCAAGGCTTGGGAACCCAAAAATTCAAATCCGATGGGCTTTCGGAGCTGTCACCCCTTATTTTTTCTATAATTAACGATGATGATGATAACCCATGTGATATACGTAAATTATCTGCCTAAAGTTATTGATTATTTTATCTAATTATTAGACCTTAATGACTGACTATTCATTAGATTATTACTACATAATTGAATTACTAATGAACCCACCGTAGGCTTGAATATATGTAGTGGTAAAAAAAAACTCTTGTCATACATCTTAAAGTTTAGAGATTATAGCCCAAAACTAAAACTATGATGTTATACGATTGTGCAATTGTATGTGTAATATACTCTAGTTTATACACCTTAATTTTTAAATTTTAATAAAGTTTTCAATTAAATATAAATAAATATTTCTATGCAATTTAATAAATAAGTTTCATGCTAAAAGCGTATTAGAGTATGTAATTGAAAACAAAATTTATAAATGTAAATATTATCTAGACATACTTCTTATAGTATACTGCTTTTATTCAACAATAAATTTCTGAGATTTGTATATCTCAAATAAATATAGCGTCAATAATTTTTTAATATATTAATAGGTCTTACAAAAAGCTTATAACTACTTTTCTAAATGATTTTAGCTTGGGTCATGAAAAAGCCAATTCTCAAATACTTTTATGTAGGCCTGTCCATCCGGACCGGCCCGGCCTGGAAATCCGGGCCCGGGCCGGGCAAAACCGGAGCCGGACTCGGACCCGGGTACCCCGGACTGAGTCCGAGCCCGGGCCCGTCCCGACCAGGCCGGGTTCCTGGCCGGCCCGGTTTCTTTTCTTTTTTTTATTTTATTTAAAATTTAAATTATACAAAAAAAGACAAGAAAAATTAATAAAAAACAATAATTTTATTAATCACTTAAAATGACATAAATTACAAATAAAAAATGATAAAAATAAATTCTTTATTAATAATTAATAAATCATTTACAAATTACAAGTACAAATTTATTTTGTAATTCATCGCATCACAATAGATAAGTACATCCCAACTAGGTTGGCACCTACTTACCTATATCACTATCATTTGCAACTATTTCCAAAATAATTCTTTATAAATTTTAAGCTAAGATATAAAAAATATCACTATCATTTGCAACTATTTCCAAAATAATTCTTTATAAATTTTAAGCTAAGATATAAAAACTACAATTTGATTAATATTATTTATTCTTTATATCTATCTGCTAGTCCCAATTCTTCAAATTTACCTTCAATTCCAGCCATCCGATCGATGCCTTGCGTTCGTTTCTCATACCTCCACCAATCTTGTAAGCACATCACCGCTTGTACAGTATACGGATCTAAGCATGTCCTGTGGTCATCGATCAAACGTCCTGCTATGCTGAAGGCGGATTCCGAAGCTACCGTCGAAACCTGCACTGTTAGTAAGTCACGAACCATGGTGAAAAGTATAGGATATGAAATTGATCCATATACTTTCCATCATTGCAAAATATCTAAAGCATTTCCTTGACATTTAACTAAAGAAGCAAATAAATATTCATCTATTTCAGAAACCTCCAATGATGACGATCCAAGTCCAGATCCACCAGTTAGCTCAGCTATCATTGCATACCTATCAAAACTTACACTTTTACCTCGGGATGAGCTCGAAGAAACCGAAGCTGTAGACTGTTGTGTAGCTACACGATGTCTAGCTGCATACTCATCATGTAAGGTTTGAAAATAATTTCTAATAGCTAAATGATGAGCAGTAGCAGTAAGGGTGGTTCCATCATCTAAGTCTATAATCTGATTATCATACAAGGATTGTAACAAACTTCGAATGCCAATATCCTTCAAGCATGGATCAATAAGAACCCCCAACCAAAAATATGAGGAATAGGCCTAAAATACTTATTAAATTTGCTCTCCATTTGAAAAATCATAGGTCCAAAAGTATCATCCATACGATATTTCCCAAAAACATTTTGAATATTTAAAATTTATAAAGTAGCTAAAGTAATGGTTGGATAATAACAGCCAAATAATAACATTGTAGCATCATAAAAAAACTTGTAACATTTTATTTAAATTACATATAATTGTCCATTCATCTTCAGTTATTCCATAAGTGCTACCAGAACTAGAACTAGAAGCATAATAGTTTATAAAATCAGTTATAATGTCTTTATATTCTATTGCTACACTTAACATTGCATATGTGGAATTCCACCTATGGTCAACATCTTTTGGAATTAGTCTAGGCTTTACATTTTTTCTTTTACAAAATTGTTTCCATCTTTTAAGTCTTTGTTCAGAAGCACTATGCATGTAAGCAACTGTTCTAATCTTTTCTATCATGGGTTTAATTTTAGTAAATGCACTTTGAACAATTAAATTTAAAATATGACAGATACACCTAATATGAAAAAGATTATCATGACATGGCAATGACAAAGTTGATCTGATAAAATCAACAGCTACATTGTTATTACTTACATTATCTAGTGAAAGAGAAAATATTCTTTTTAAAATTTCTAATTTCATAAGTTCTTCAATTATTAAATTTGCAACATTAATACCAGTATGTGACTCTTCTATTGCAATAAAAAAACAACTCTTTTAAACATTTGTCATTTTTCATCAATCCAATGTGCTGTGATACATAAATATCCACTTTGTGCTCTAGATGTCCAAATATCAGAAGTTAAAGAAAATTTACAGTTTAAATTTTTAAAATAAGAAATTATTTTTCCTTGTTCCTCCTGATAATATTTTAAAATATCACGTTGACAGGTTTGACGAGAAATTTTTTTAAATGCAGGATAAAAACCATCTCTAAACATATCTTCAAATTCATCATCTTCTACTAATTTAAAAGGAAGGTTTTTAAGAATGATAAACCTGATTACGCATTTCCTGGTTCTGGCAGCGTCATAGTTCCAACTACCGAGACTACCAGAAGAGAATGATTGAGAAATCATAGATTGTCGGATATCACCTTGAGGAGTCTGACCTTTGTTGTGTTTATCTAAATGGCGTTTGAGGTGCTTGGTGCCGCACTTATGATGAGCTTGAAAAATCTTGCCGCACAACGCACACTTAGCCTTCTAGGTGAGGATCCTACCGTGTTCATCCTTGGTAACGTCGATCTTCTCGTAAAAATTCCACACATCGGATCTTGGCCTTTTAGGAGCTCTTGGTGCAGATTCGTCGCCACCGGATTCGGGATTAACTTCGGTAGGAGTAGACCCAGTAGGAGGACTCATTTCAAGATCGGGAGATAGGTTTTACTCTTCATAATCAGATCCGGAAGCTATTTGATGAAAGGATTAGAAAGTATAAGAGAGTATAAGAATATAAGAGAGTATAAGAGAGAAGTAGATGAGTTTTGGTGTGAAGAAAACAAATAAAAACTCCCCTCTACTTATAGAACCAACCCCCTAAGCAAATGACCAAAATAACCTCACAAAATAGCCGTTTTTTAACCGTTTTTGGGGACAAAACGATCAAAAGACCGTTTATGACCGTTATGGCCGGGCCGGGCCTCCAGGTCGGGCCGGGCCCGGGCTGGGCGCCGCTGAGAGAGCCCATATCCAGGCCCATGCTTTTTAGACAGGCCTACCTGTTTTATGCCAGTTAAAAATATTCTCAGATATCAATACAAAATCTTACGGTTACGGTTCTACTTTTGCACAGAATACAGTGAGTATAATAACCAAGCCAGCTGGCCATGTGATGGTCTGTTTATGATAGTACATTTTGATTATTTAGCATTTCATTCGCGGGAAATTATTGAATGAAGCCTCGGGGTTAATTTTTTTTTTAAGAGTAATAGCAACAATAATGCAAGATGTCCACAAGCGTGCGTGGAAAGTCCCTGCAGATTCTGCGCAACACACGTGCCCCACTTTTGTAATTGGATCCGTGGAAAGAGAGAAGTGGGACTTTAAAGTTGATGGCGGTGTTATGTAACTGGTCAATTAAATATTTTCTTTTGGATAAAAAAAAGATAACTAAGTCTATGAATGTTGCTTAGTAGTTAAGTGCATTGTGCTTATAGTACCGAAGAGGCTTAGTATCTGAAGACTTCTTTTTCTTTTTCTACCCCCACTTCTTTTCTGAAAGTGAAAGGTTCTCTTTCTTTGTTTGTATATATATTCACACATCTTTTACCATTTTTGTTGCAGTGATTGAATCACGGAGGCATTACTATAATAGCAAGTGTCGCCAATTAAACTTTATTTGAAGCCTTAATTTGGATCGTCTCCATACAAAAATGTAGCGGAATAGAGATTATTATTATTTATTATAACCGTTGATAGTTTAATGAGTGATTGAGATTAATTCTAAAGTTTAATTTGGTAAGAGAGAAGTGGAGAGAGGGAAGTGGAGAGAGGGAAGAGGAGAGACAAAACTACAAATCATGTTTGGGAAGGAGTTACAGTGGGAGTTGAGGTGACATGAAGTTGGGTGAGATGAAAGGTGTGGGAGTAGATGGTAGAAGATTGGTAGAAAACCAAGGGAATTTTATATTTTATCTTTCTTTCGTTGAATTTTGGTGGAGCTAATGTGCGTCATTAGACGTGCTACTTAAAGTGTTATTTTGGTACTCCTATGTAAGGATCCCAAGCACGATTTGCTTCTAGGTACAGCAGAGGTAGCACTCCGAAATGCACCAACCAGGAGCGCTTTGTGTGAACAGACTTTGCAACTGGTTATGCCAAACTTTGCTTTGGACTATGCAAAGAGCTCTGTAGGCTATGTAGAGAACTCCTTGAATTTGTTGATATACAGAGCTAAATAATGTTTAAAGTTATTAAACCTTTTCAATTATTATCCCATCAAATTGCTGCGATTATGATGCCGATTTAATTGATCTAGATTAAAATTATTAACTCATTTAAGTTTGAAAGCCCAAAGATCGCATTCTACCTCAAGACCAGCTCTCAGTTAGACA